CAGGGGGATAGCTTGAGGCTCCGTCTCAAAAAAAAAAAAAAAAAAATTTTACTAAAGTGAAGTAATCAAGATTATAGTGTCAGGGCAACACCTGTGGCTCAGTGGGTAGGGCACCGGCCCCATATACCAAGGGTGGCAGGTTCAAACCCGGCCCCAACCAAACTGCAACAAAAGAATAGCCAGGCGTTGTGACGGGTGCCTGTAATCCCAGCTACTAGGGAGGCTGAGGCAAGAGAATTGCCTAAGCCCAGGAGTTGGAGGTTGCTGTGAGCTGTGATGCCCCAGCACTCTACTAGAGGGCAACAAAACGAGACTCTTAAAATAAAAATTAAAAAAAAAAAGATTATAGTGTCAGTATATATTGCTAACAAGGATTGGAAAGAATACCAGAGAAAAGTCATTCTGAAGGCCCCCAGAATCCAGTGAAGGTAGAAAGGGACAGTCTCTTGATAATATAAGGTGAGTCCAGTTCTATAGTTCTCCACAACTAAGAAAAAGCAGTTATTACCCATGAACTGATACTTTTTAAAAATTTATGTATGATTTATTGCATAAATCATGCATAAATGATTTTTTTTTTTTTTTGAGACAGTATCACCCAGTCAGCCTCAATAGAGTGCTGTGAAGTCACAGCTCACCGCAACCTCTAACTCATGGCCTTAAGAGATTCTCTTGCCTCAGCCTCCCAACTGGGAGGTGGCTGGGACTACAGGCATCCACCACAACACCTGACTATTTTTTGGTTGCAGTTATTTAGTTGGCCGGGGCTGGGTTCGAACTCACCACCCTCGGTGTATGTGGCTGGCACCATAACCACTGTGCTACAGGCACCAAGCCTAAATCATTATTTTTAATGATTGCATATTGTTCTGTACGGATATAATAGAATTCAGTTAATCTATATCTAAATAGAGCTAATCTATATCTCTACTGATGTTTATATTTTCCTCCTTTAGTAACCAACAATGCTGTGATGAATAGCCATATTAACTTGTTCCAGTATTACATTAAAACACTGATGTGGAATTTTTTTGTCCCCTGGGTAGAGTGCAATGGCAACATTGTAGCTCCCAGCAACCTCAAACTCCTGGGCTCAAGTAATCCTCCTGCCTCAGCTTCCCAAGTAGCCTGGACTTAATTTTCTGTAGACATGGGATCTGGCTTGTGCCTCAAGTGATTCTCCCACTTCAGCCTCCCAAAATGCTAGGATTAGGATTATAAACATGAGTCACCATACATAGCCTTTAACTTTTTGAATATTTATTAAGGTCTTAGGTTGCATGATTAAGGAAAATTTCAAATTAACTGGGGTTTTGTCTGAATTCAGCATCTTATGAATTTCATTGAATCATTCAGCCACTCAACAAATTTTTAGAATGTACTTACTATGTGCTAGGGCTATAATATGCAAAAAGGAAATGTAAGCTCAACTGGCTAAGGTGCCAGCCACATACACTTAAGGTGGTGGGTTTGAATCCAGCCCGGGCCTGCCAAACAACAATGATGGCTGCAACCAAAAAATAGCCAGGCGTTGTGGCGGTTGTCTGTGGTCCCAGCTACTTGGGAGGGGGAGGCAGAGGCAGGAGACTTGCTTGAGCCCAGCAGTTGAAAGTTGCTTTGAGCTGTGATGCCATAGCACTCTAACCAGGGGGACAGCTTGAGGCTCTGTCTCAAAAAAAAAAAAAAAGGAAATGTAGCCCCTGTGATATGGCTTTTAATTTTATTGGACTAGATAAAAGAATATGACCTATATGATTCCCTCCTCAATTTTGAGGTTCTTTGAGACTTATTTACCATACAATCAATTTTGGCAAATTCTCTAGATTTCATATATTAGGAACCGGACTTGGCCCTAAGCAAAATACTAATAGCACATACAAAGACTTCATACATGTATTTTTTTTTTTTTTTTTTTTTTTTTTGAGACAGAGCCTAAAGCTGGTGCCCTGGCATCACTGCTCACAGCAACCTCCAACTCCTGGGCTCAAGCGATTCTCTTGCCTCAGCCTCCCAAGTAGCGGGAGCTACAGGTGCCTGCCACAACTCCTGCCTATTTTCTGGTTGTAGTTGTCATTGTTGTTGTTTGGCAAGCCCAGGCTGGATTCAAACCCGCCAGCTCTGGTGTGTGTGGCTGGTGCCTTAGCCACTTGAGCTACAGGGGCCGAGCCCATATTTGTATTATAAATATTAAATTCCCAATGCAGAATGTCAAATTTAATTAAGCACGCACCAGGCTCAGCACCTATAGCTCAGTGGCTGGGGCACCGGCCACATGCATCAGAGCTGGTAGGTTTGAGTCCAGCCCGGGCCTGCTAAACAACAACAATGACAACTACAACCAGAAAATAGCCAGGCGTTGCGGCAGGCGCCTATGGTCCCAGCTGCTTGGGAGGCTAAGGCAAGAGAATCTCTTAAGCACAAGAGTTGGAGGGTTCTATGACGCTATGGCACTCTACTGAGGGTGACACAGTGAGACCATGTCTCAAAAAAATAAACCATGCACTATATCAATGGGAAACAAGTATTATAAGGGAGGAAAGAGTTCACCTTGGACCAAAATGGTCCAAAGAAAGTTACTAAAAAAATGAGGTAAATTTTCAGATGAGTATTGGTGAATGGGGCAGGAAATCCCTGGAGAACAAACCAATAATAATGTGGCAAGAGTGAAAACTGAAGATTTCAGACACTAGGCTCGGCTCCATACACAGTGGTTACAGTGCCAGCCACATACACTGAGGCTGGTGGTTCGAACCTGGCCTGGGCCAGCTAAACAATGACAACTGCAACAAAAAAATAGCCGGGCATTATGGTGGGTGCCTATAGTCCCAGCTACTTGGAGGCTGAGGCCAGAGAATTGCTTAAGCTCAAGAGTTTGAGGATGCTGTGAGCTGTGATGCCACAGCAGCACTCTACCAAGGGTGACATAGACTGTATCTCAAAAGAAAAGATTTTGGACACTATGTTTTGTTCTTTTAATTTTTATTTATTTGAGACAGTCTTACTCTGTCACCTGGGTAGAGGGCTGTGGCATCATAGCTCACAGCAACTTCAAACTAGTGGGCTTAAGCAATCCTCATGCCTCAGCCTCCCAAGTAGCTGGGAGTACATGACATCACTGCTCAGCTAATTTTCCTATTTTTAGTAGAGGCAGGGTCTCTCTTGTCCAGGATGGTCTAGAACTCCTAAGCTCCAGAAATACACCCACCTTGGACTAACAGAGTGCTAGGATTATAGGTGTGAGCCACTGCATCAGGCCCAGACACTTTGTTTTGAATTAAGAATGCACTCTGCAGAGACTCATGAGTGTAATCACAGCATTTGGAAGGCCAAGGGGAGAGGATCACCTGAGCCCTAGAGTTTGAGGCTGCAGTTAGTTATGATGGGGTCACACTGCACTACAGCCTGAGGGACAGACTGAGACTGTCTCTATTAAAAAAAAAAAAAAAA